ATAGCTAATATCTTTAATTGAATGTATTCAATTCCCATTTGTTGATAGGTCCGTAACTTTTTTCATTAATCTTCCTTAAAGTCCTTAATTTCTGTGTGTAGAAATGTGTACGAACCCTGTACAAGTCTCATCTGTTAAAGCTACTGTAATGCATTCTTCATCTATTTCATCATTTGATTCAGACATCATGAATTTTCATGATCTGTGAAACTTTCTTTATTTTTTTGTGTATTAAAAGGAAAACAAAATTTCTTCTTAAAACGATGAATAAAACGATGAATATAGAATTCTTTAAACTCCAACTTTCATTCTGATATTTAAAATTATTTTCTATATGTAAAAAATTTGGTAATTTTAATTATCTGCACCCCTGCTGAAAAGTTGTGAACTTGTTGGAGACTTGGGGGGGGGAATGTTCTGTTATCCTTGCTTTATCATTTTTGTTGCTGTTCTTTGATACTTATAAACTTTTTGAGCTAGACATAATTTCTGTAGCTGATTAATGTATTAAAGTTCCACTTTTTCATGGTATGTAATTTTGTAAATTCTATTCTTATGTGTACAAATCACATCTAAATTGTTCTTTTCAGCTGTAACATAATATTCATTTTATATGTTGCTGCGAGCTGTGGGATCATTGATATTTCTTCAAATAAATAAATCCAGATAAGCTGGAAGAAATTAACAATTTTGTGAAGAAAATAACCTCAGCAATTAGCATACACAGCGTATAACTTAAAATAACACAAGGAGAATGCAGATATGTAGTAATTCTTTCCTAGCATATGAACTAAACCATAAAGTTCCTCAAATCGATCTTGGGGTAAGGAAACTTCTGGAAAGAATTGATCATAGGGCTTCGAAAATGTGTTTTCGCAAATCTTCCAGGCCCCTTTAGGAATGAAAATATTAAGCAAATATTTTCATTCAAAAGTTCTAATTGAGCTAACTTTTCCTTGTATGTGAAGTAAAGGAAATATTGTAATTGCAAAAAATTTTGGGTATCATATTTCAAAAAAATTACCAGTTTTGACTGATCTCATAAAACAATTTCCAAAGAATAAGGGTTTAATATATATAATAGAATAAAGGTTATAATATAGTTTTTTTTTTTTTTTTCCCCCAAAAGGATTGTAATAGATTCAGAAGGGAGCTTTTGTGATGCACCTACATATATGTACCTCTCATTATTAAAAAAAATTAGCCATAGAACATTAAAATTTCATATATGGGACTGCTATAACAACTAGCTGTGCACCTTCCTTTTCAGTTGTAATTGGCCACAACTCCTTTTTGTTCAAGAGGGTTGTGTGTGTATATATATGTAAGATAAAAAATATATGAATCAGAATTATAACTATAAACATTAATTCTTTATTCTAAAATCCTAATAACTTCTCTGCATTGCGTCATTTCTAGATCACTCTATGGCCCGCGCAACTCTGATGACGTAATAATTGTAAACCAAAACTTTTCTCTTCACGTGCTTCCATCTTTCATAACGACGCGCTTCAGCTTTTGCTCTCTACTGTGCTAAGATGTAATTTCGCTGGCTTGCTTTCTATCTCAACTGTATCAAAAATGTAAATCTTCTGTGGAAAGGCACGACTAGAGTGCCATGTGATTGTGGCCAGAAATATCAGTTGCAAATAAAAAATGGAATTAAAACTGCCTCGATTGCCAAGTTCTTTAGATATTACCAAGTTAGCATTACTAGCACACTACGCAATCAAAATCTTCTTCAATATGGGTCTAATCACGCATCTACAGTTTTCTGTCTTTTCCTTGTGCTTTTAATATGACAATTAAGCCGGTAGGATAGTTTCCTGCAGCCTGAAACCTCAATGGAAAATTTAGTTCAGCTCTTCAAATCATCGTTTTGTGATAAATTCAAGATGATGTGAAAGAAGTGAATCATCAAATTTGTTTTTTCAGTGTTTAAAAAATAACAGATCATTCTTCTGCTGTTTTGCAAGTGCTTCAAAAAATAATCTCGTGTAGTGTTTTCAGATTGAAAGTAATCTCTCGATAAATTGAGAAGTTCGAATGCCTAGTGAAAAGGAAATCATCAGTAAATTATCGTTTAAGAATTAAGCATTACAGCGGGTTCAAGGTCGATCTGAGTTCATGTTTGCAAGTATGTGCGACAGAAAATTATTTGCACTTCCGCATTTTCAACAGCTCAAAAACTGTTACATTCGTGTGAATCTAGCTCAGGAACTAAATTATTTAATATGCTGCGGATTCTATAGTTTTCATTTCAACTTTGGTTAAAATTTCTGCAATTTGTTTTGAGGAAATCTGAAATTCTTGTTCATGAATTTTTCTAATTTTTCATAATTATGTGTGAGCAAATTAAGTAACGAATTTTAAGCTATTTAAATTATTCACAGGGAAGGATATTAAGATAAGTTTTTATGTTTTTGAAATTTTGTTGAGAATTTTGAATACGAATTTTATAATTATTCTAAAAATGAAGTAGGTGTAAAAAATAAGTGAAATTTTTACAGATACGTGATATGAAATTATGGTAAATGCATATTAAATTTATGGGTGATTGTATGTTAAGTATATAGTATATGTCGAGGGAGTACTGGGTTCCTAAGCAGAGGCCTGTAATTACCTCTGTACAGTTGTTCCCTTCACCCTCTTCAAGTAAGATAATGTTAAAGGCTCTCATTTTATGAATGCATGTAAATTTTTTATATTATTATTATCATTATATTTTTTTATTACGGAATGTATTAGTGGAGTTCTCAAAGGCCAGTTATCTTAATGCAAGGAACGGAGGCCTTTTCAAGTAACTGCCTAGGCACCCTGGGCCACCAGTGCATAGAACACACTGGTTAGCTCAAGAGGACAACCCTATTGATGGATATGGTTTGTTTAGAAGTATTGTGAGGCCTTCCAGTTGGTAAAATACAGTAATTGTAAATGAAAGATAATAACGGTGAAACCATATTTTCTGAAGCTTACTCCTATTATATGGGTATTAAAATATAATTATCAATATGAAAATTTATATCATAAATATTTATGTGCATTACATTTAATTATAAGTAATGATTATGTAAAAGTTTATTTGTGATATTCTGTAATAACAAGAACCTCCCTGAAATAATGATTATGTGAACTCTCAACAAAAAGACTTTTGGACTGAAATGCTGAAAAATTCAATAGGACTCTAAAAATTAAAAATTTATTTAAAAAAAATGATATTTATAAGTTATACTTTACAGGACAAAAATTTTATGATTTATGTTTTTTTTTTTTTTTTTTTTTTAACATTTGCTAGTGTTTTAATTCTTTCTCTTTAAAAAGGCTTCTCTGTTGCTACACCTTTTTCTTTTTGAAGGAGAAAATATGCAAGATAAAAAATATATGAATCAGAATTATAATATAACTATAAACATTAATTCTTCCTCTTTATTCTAAAATCGTAATAACTTCTCTACATTGCGTCATTTCTAGATCACTCTTTGGCTAGCGCAACTCTGATGACGTAATAATTGTAAACCAAAACTTTCCTCTTTGCGTGCTTCCATCTTTCATAACGACGCACTTCAGCTTTTGCTCTCTTCTGTGCTAAGATGTAATTTCGCTGGCTTGCTTTCTATCTCAACTGTATCAAAAATGTAAATCTTCTGTGGAAAGGCACGACTAGAGTGCCAAGTGATTGTGGCCAGAAATATCAGTTGCAAATAAAAATGGAATTAAAACTGCCTCGACTGCCAAGTTCTTTAGATATTGCCAAGTTAGCATTACTAGCATACTACACAATCAAAATCTTCTTCAATATGGGTCTAATCATGCATCTACAGTTTTCCGTCTTTTCCTTGTGCTTTTAATATGACATATATATATTCCCACCCTCTTATTTGCCTCGATTAGCTTTTTTTTTTTCTTTTCTCTTATATGCTGGCAAATTGTTCATTTTTTGCTTTAAAAATGATTGAATTATGTTGTTCTTAAATTCTGGTTAAGGTTTTTATGCCTTTAGTTAATCTGTAGGCAATAGTTGTAGAATTATCATGACTCTAAAAGTTTTAAGTGGCACTAGGTCTACCAAGGCAGCTGTTTGTTTACTTTGAAACTCTTAATAGAATAGTGAATTAAATTGGTGCACCAATTGCAGTGTCTTTTTGCACAGTGAGACCAAAATCTAACTCTCAGTTTTGTGCACCAAATATTTTGTCTTCATGCCCATCGGCTAAATTTCTGGTTTTGGCATAGAAACTCTAATTTTAATTGTAAAAATTGTTTTTAACTGTATTTTGTGTTTTAGGTTTTTCTGTAGTTCACAATTCCTAATGAAAATGCTTTGAATTTTTATGTATTTCTGTCTTGCCACGAATTGGGAACTGAATTGATTGAATGAAAAACATATCTTTAATGAAATTCAAGAAAATAAGTTTAACACCTTCAGAAGTATATCATATATATATCAGCAGCTAATTCTCTTGCGAGATGGCATGCCACTTAGCGCAACTCGTCTTGGAGATGTGTGTTGCACCAGTGCATCAGCCAGCTGCTAGCAACATTTGGGACTAATGCATATATGATACACTCATCTGCAGAGGTTTTTAGTTCAGCAACATGCCGTCATGAAGTGGTTAATTGAAGTGCAGCAAAAAATGTGTATAACTTAATAGGCCATACAAGAAAGTCATGTGGTTCCCATATCAGATTTTTACAATTCCAAAGCCGTTGTACTCAGAAATAAAAGCTGTACAATTCTCTGCAACAAATAAACCCTTAATGCAAAATAAATAAATTAGTACAAAATATTACAATTTTAAAGAAAAACGGAAATAGAATTTAAAAAGATTAAAATATTTACAACAATATTATAATTGTTTGTAAACGAATTCGCTTAATAATAATATTAATATAACCAGGACATTGTTTTATGTAGGAATGGTTATACTTAATTAATTGGCTCTTTATAACTTTTATTTCATAATTACTGATTGATATAAATGTTTCAATATTTTCTATAGATTCCTAACATATAATCCAGCAAGGCGGATCACTGCTGAAGAAGCCAGAAAACACGAATTTTTTAATGAAAAACCTAAACCAATATCTCCATCTATGTTTCCTACGTGGCCTGCCAAGAGTGAGCAAGTTCACCGTAAAGCGCAAAGCCCTAAACCTCCTTCTGGTGGAAAGCAATATGCAAGACAAATGGTTTGTATCGTTTTGGTAATGTAATTATTACAATAAATGATAGGTATAATGGCCCTTCTGGCAAACAGTTCTGAATTATGTTGGTTGTAGATGGATTCTGAGCTGATATTAAATTGTATGCCATGTAGTTTTATTACAAATTATAAAGGCCAATAGGCATTTTATTGTGAGAAACATAAAAAAGCAATTGTGCTCCGACTAGGATTTGAATCATGGATCTTCCAGTTGCTTGCTGGATGTATTGATTACTAACACCATTCAGGGATGTTTGTGCTCCGGGGATTTTGAACTTTGATACCCGGAAATTCCGGGGATCGTTGTTCAAAAGGAAGTAGGAATAATAATGAATTATTTATTTTGATCTGGGTAATTTTGTTTGCTTTGAAAGCAGAAAATGCAAGGTCAGTATGTGTGGTGAAAAATTTTCCTTTCTTTCTCCACAGGCAGTGATAATGCGTGAAAAGGAGAAAAAAATTTCTTTTTTGTTCTTTCCTTATTGCGAGTTATGACTCATTCCCCGGTTCTCGGACATTCTCTTCTGGATTCTTTTCGGCAAGTAGGCGCGGCAGAAAAAAAAGGGAGAGACTTCGTTCGACCAGATGTGCGATCACGTGACTCTGGGTTCAAAGGTCTTATCTCTCCTCCTTGCGTGGCGCCAATAAGTAGAGAAGGGGGATTTTTCGCCGTATTAGCTATTTGTCATTGATCGCTTCTCAACTTTTTTTTCTCCGCTGTGTAAAATTTTCGTTTCATTTATTGATGCACGTGTAAATTTTTCGTTTCGTTTATTGAAATATTTTTTTATTTATGTACGCAAGAGAATTTCACTATGAAATTTCTCGATATAAATAGTGATATTATACAATTAGAAGAAGGTGTCCGGAATGCATTTAGGTGGAATTGGATTGAACGGAGAGATGGTAATGGGGATACCATCGGCACATGGTGCAAGAAAATAAATGTTGCTGGACAAGCATATTGTGTTTTTTGTAACTCACTGCTGAAGTATGGTGGGGAAGGATTCAAGGCTTTCACAAATCATTCTAAAACTGTGACGCACATAAAATATTCAAAGTGCATTAGACATTCAATGACTTTAAGTAATTATGCTAATTCAAAAAATACTGATGACTTACTGGAGACTGATGCTCGGCCATTGGATATAGTGACAAGAAAAGCACGCCAAGAGGTATTAATAACTTCGTTTATCGCCGAGAATTCTCTTTCTTTCAATGTAGCTCCCAATTTAATTGAACTCTGCAAACAGTTGAGCCGCGATCAGACGGCACTAAACTCGTTGGAAATGTCCAGGACTACTGCATGTTATAAGATGAAATATGGGCTCGCAAAAACTATTAAGGAAAAATATCATTAAAACTTTAAAGGAGACTCCATTTTCTCTAAATTTGGATGAAAGTACTAGCAATGCTCAAGAAAGTACTGGCAATATTGGGCAATATTTGGTGCAGTTTTATGACAACAATCAAAATGAAGTTGTAGTTCATCATTTTGCATCTCTAAAGATGGAATCTTGCAATTCAGAAGCTGTTTTTAAAGCAGTTGTTAATACTATTGAAGATAATAATATTCCATGGGCAAACTTAATTAGTGTATTAATGGACTCATGTAACACCATGCGTGGAAAAAAAAAAAGGGTGTTGAAACCAGACTACGATCAAACAAAGCACCCCACTTATTAGATATTGATGGTGACACATGTCACACAGCTAATAACTGTGCAAAAAAATTTGCTTCATGTTTTGATAGATACTTAGAAGATTTGTTTGATGACATCTATTTTGATATGAAAAGCTGCAGTAAAAGAGAAAATTTTTTCAAAATCTGTGAATCCCTTGCCATTAAAAAACTTAAGCCCTTGAAGAGACCAGACCATAGGTGGGTGTACATTTTATGTGTTTAGAAAGAATCAAAGA